ATTCGCGTAGAAAGACTTTTCAGCGGTAGCGTGCGCATAGAAAACCGCCTGGTCGGCCTTGATATCGAATCCATATTGATGGAGATTCGCTGGAAGGGTGTGAGACAACGTGCCACGATTCGACCAGGTTTGCATGCATTAACGCCACAAGCGAGACTGATTGACAATCCGTACGTCATTGTGACGTCAGTCAAATCGCCCGAGCGTCCTCCATCAATCGCAATCAATTAAGGTAACGATTGATTGTTACGCGTTTGGACTCGGAGAAGAGAATATTGTGAGCCGGTATTTATGTGGAGCATAACGGAACATCGCGAGGTACAGTGTCGTCGTGGTGAATGGCGTGGTAAAAAGATCGTTGCGCGAGTGCTCTGCGCCCGTGCTTACTCCTTGCAAGTTATTATTATTTCGTGTTATCTCGTCTGTTTCGAATTATCGTTGGAATACGTGTTTCAACGTACTGAAGTTACTAAAAGACATTTACCAAAAGAAACCTGTTATTTCTGAAAACTGAAAGTATTTCAGAGTGATTGCAATTAATTTCTTTATCGAGTATAAATTCCGTAACTCTTCATACATTTTCAATCATTTTCACGCTTCAATCTAAATGAGATAATTCCTTTATCGACATTTATATTAGCAGTTCTCAACTCATACTCAGCTCACACCGGCATTTCACTGCCGCCCTCTCTTCTCCGAGGGGGAACTCCCGTGTTTACTTTTGCAACGGCATCGATGCCGATTTTTCAATCAGCCCCGAATTTTTTTCCACGCTCAGTTGAACGCTTAACGCGACGTTTTGGCGCTCCGGCGATTAGTGCGATCTGAAATCTGTCCGGCTCGCCACCAACGGATTAACTTTTATCGCGCCGCTGACCAGCCTCGGGCGCGCATATTTTTTTTTTTTTCACCGCGTGAAATTTCGCCATGGCGTTTCCCCTCGGCGGAGAGGTCGCGCGTAGGTGCCGGGGGAAGCGAAACGATCGTCGTCGCGCGGGATCCGAAATGGAATCCATCAAATTGACGGAGGGAATGGCAGAGAGGTGCGTCACGGTACTGAGGGTCATCGCGGCTGGTACGCGAACGCACGGTGGAGGATGAGGAAGCGGCGCAGGAGGAGGAGAAAGACCAGCGCTGCAAGCGCGCGGAGGACGCACGAGGGCTATGATCGATGCCCCGAAATTAAGGGCTTGCCCACTGAGCGAAATAAAGTTAGCCAATCGCGCTGGCGGCCGGCCTGTTCGAACGTTATTGGCTGCGGCAGCGGCGGGATACGTTATTCGTCGCACAACGACCCGATGCCCGATTTTTTTCACGCGCCCCCGCAGCCTCTCTCACTCTCTCTCTCCCCTCTCCGCCCCGCTCCCCTATTTTCGGGACGAGAGCTTCCGGATACTGGCAATTGGAGAAAGAGAGGCGACACCGGAACGCGCGCGCGGGCGGACGGACGGGCGAGCGGAGGAGGAGGCGGCGGTGGCGGCCGGAGGGGGTGGATTTTCGTAATTATGAAACGCCGTTAGCCCCCGGGGATCCGTCAGTCGGCGGGGGAGCCCGTGGCGCTGCCCGGCCACGACAATGCCATTTTAATTATGCATGTTAATTGGTTTCCGAGTCCGGCGTAATACCACCAGCTTCTCTAGGACTGTTCTCGCAATCCCGTCTGTCGTCGATCGATGCGGTCACGTATCGATCGATCGACGGGACCGATTATATCAAAACGCCGTGATTCGCGCATAGGGGGGAGCTAAAACCTTTGCAATCTTTATGAATCCGCGATTTTGGAAAATCGTCCTCGAATCGAATTGTCTTCTCGCGCCGTGGTGTAAATTGAATTTAAAGGGAAAACACGCGCGCACGTATGTATCTTATCGGGCACGTTGTGTAATATTGATGGCGTTTATCGAAATTCCGTGTAAAATTAAAATAGAGAAGGAGGGGAAAATAGGAATGTGAAGATCGAGCGTGCGCGTGTTATTTGAAATAAAAATATAAAAGCACTCGGCGAGAGAATTCAATGCAAACGTCAAATATTCAATTTTATTTATATACTACGTATCGAGCGGCAATGTTGGCTTTTTAATACCCGCGCGAAAGTTACGGACGGATATCGCGGCGAAAGTGGCGCGAAGGGATGACAAAATGATCGCGCGCTTAGGAATACGGATGCTTTGTTTTTTCCTTCAGTCAGGTATACCGAGTTGATGGGGAGCGTGTTGTACTTTCTGCACAGCTGAGTGAGCATGTCACAATCGACCAGGACCGCCTCAATCAAAGTGGCATTGATACCCTTCGCCCGCTCGCTACTCTCTCTTTCTCTCCCGACCGGGTACTCGCGTTCTCCATTGTGGTTTTGTGCGAGACCGAAAATCTATTAGCCTCCCAATATATATATGTATATGTATATATATATATATATATATATATATATATATATATATATATATATATATATATATATATATATATATACACATATATACACATATACATATTCCCCGTGAGCAACGCATACATTCACATCACCGGCATACTGAAGAGAAAAAGCGAGGAGACACCGAGTGAATATATACAGGAACATATATATTCGCTTCTGCGGCTATATGAGAAAAAAAATACAGGATGTCCCGAAATTTGCGCATGCGGAGTGTACAGGAAGATTCTTCATACCACAAGAAGTAACTTTTTTCCTTAGCGAAAATGTCGAGAAATGTCATTATTTATAGTAACTTTTCAACTTTCAATGTAACGCGTCTTTGAAGTTAAACCTTAGATTAAGATTCTGTTTCAGTAAAGTGAACTATTTGATTTAATTAATTTATCGAAGAAGATTATTCATTTGTTCGTCCGACACTTAGCTCGCGGAAAACCCCATTTTTTCAATCGTTTGTTCTCGGATATTATTGTTCAAACGCAATTTTGGTGAAAGGAGAAGTTGCTTCTTTCGTCAAAAACTTCCTTGTATACACTCCGCATTCAGAAATTTTGGGACATCCTGTATAAACGAACTAGCAATAAACGATGCGACATATTCGACGCACACAGTGCGTTTCTCTTTAATTGCGAGATATTTCATCCCGTCGAAGTGCGCTCGCGTAGAGTTAAATATTAGCGCGTAACGACTGCACTGTGGAAAAAAGAGCGATCGATGCGTTGATATCGTGCAAACTACTCGGGATCGTCTCTGCTACTAGAACGGTAAAAATAGAGCCTTAATGGAGATTTAATCCTGTAATTTTGCGGAAGTTGTCCATTTATTTTACTCTCGTTTTGATCTACCGTGTCTGGAGAACGAACGAACGAACGAACGAGCGAGCGAACGGACGAACATGAGGGTGGCGTTCGTCACGACACGCGACCGCATCGCGGTTGCATTCACGTTACACGGCGCGGTTGTTACGACATTACTCGGGTGCGTGCGTGTCGTGTGCCGAACGAGCATTTTCGAGATTAATTCCTCTATCGTCTCACCGATCGGCCCAACCTACGAGATTGCATAATTCCTCTCTCGCCAGACAATAACTATTGTTATTTTTTCACCTCACCACCGATACTCGCCGAATCTCCGGCATGCATCAGTGCAGCTCCTCCCCTCGTAAACCGATATCGCGATATTACTATTAATGCCGGAAATTGTTTGTTTAATCTGGAAATTCTAGGATCTCATTTATGTTTATTTTGAAAAGTATTTGGAAAGTGCGGTAAAGTGTTTTAAAGAGGTCGTGAGGTTTGGTGTCGTATTTTCAGTGGCACATTAAGAGAACTACTCAACAATTTAGTATTTATCGAGCAAAATTATGTTTCCATATATAGTTATTTCATTATACAAATAATAAATGTTGAATGTTCATTGAATCTTCACCAAACTCACTTCACTTTACAATCTCCTTACGGGAACAATTATACAAAAGGACTGGATTTTTTGTCGAGATCCACGTATCGCGAGTTTTTTTCTTTTTTTTTCATTTATAACGTTGACACGTGTGATTTGTGTCGCGTTTTGCTACCGAGGCCGGTTTCGAGTATCGGCGAGCGAGAGACACGAGTTCGCGCGACATCGGGGTTAAACCCAGCCAACAGGTGCAGACGTCGGAAGCAGACTCGGAGGCGCGAAAAATAGTTACGCGCGAGCCTACCGGGCTTTGCTTGTCACCGGCGTGTAACCCATATCCCTTCTCGAATGCGGATGAAAGCTCGAGAAGCCGCCGCCGCCGGTGTATCGAAGCTCGGGGGTTGAGCACCCCTGAACACAAGATGTCCTCCTGAAGACTATCTCGGCCCGGGTCCCGCGGGAAACCTCTTCCTTCCTGCCGTTCCTATCTCAGGACACTCTATAGCCTATTCAGATACCGGGCTCACCCCGCTGCTACTCTCTCTCGCGCGCGCGTTAGCCACGCCACGGAAGAGAGACGGGCGCGCGAGTGTGGGTGTGTGCGAGGGGAGTCTATGTTACCATGGACGAGCAGCGCACCATGCGCGATGCTGGAGTACGTGGTATAAGTACGCCCCGAGTATTCGAGTACTCTTCTACCCCGGCGGAGCGTCCTCCCTTCCTCCCGCCGCCGTCGCCGCATCTCGCAGGAAACGTATTTTGCAAGCCTAAATGTCCTAGGAGTCTGGTCGCGACGGTACACGAGGCTCTATCTTATAGGCGGGTCCTTCGAGAAGGAGTTATCTGGACCCTTATTTCGCAGATCGTTGGAAACGACGATAGCGCGGGCGACAGGCTGATACGAGAGTCGTTGGCGTCTCTCTCTCTAGAAAATCGGCGCCTCTATCGTTACGTTCGTCGTCTTCATTCTCGTCGTCGGCGTCACCGTCCTCGTCGAGCCGAGTCCGGGCGATTTCGGGGAGTCGTGTGTGCGCCACGGTATCGTAAAACTCGCTCGTCACCGGCGAAATAAATGGCGCGTTTTAAGTAGATCGCCGCCACCGACGGCCGATTACCGAAGCGTCCGTTCGACGCGAAGCGATGGTCAGGCAACGATATAGACGCAACTCACCGGTCGATGATCACGGGATCGCTGGGCGTCTCGTTCCTGTTTCCGCAGCTCTTCTTGTCGCAGCATCGACTGCAAAGCAAAGGGAGCGATTTTACTGCCATTGCGCCTCGCTTGCGTACGCGTCTCGCCGTGGCGAAATTTTTATCTCCCCGAAAGGAAGAAGGAGAAAACGAACAGCCGCGAACACACAAGCTCCGTGCGTGGAGGAGTCGGAGGGATTTTTCGGGTCCGCCTAAAAAGTATCGAGTACCCATGGGACTCGGGAAGTAGGTGGCGGAAGCTAGTGGTAGTGGTGCCCGAAGTCCCATGGGTCACAATGAGTCAGCCACCCCCCGGAGAACGACCACGTCCCCGTATGCCTCGTTACGTTTATGCTATGCCGCGGGGGTGACTGCTTGTGGAGGAGGGGCACTTTTCTCAACGCAAATAACACGAGCCAACGTGTGAAATAACTCGACACCACGGTAGACGCCGATCGGAAATGTCATGCGATTAATTTTACGCGGAAACAATCGCGCGCAACGGTGATGAATGAGAGAGCGATGTTCGTTTGTCCATCTTGCAATTTCTTTAGTTTTCGCCTCCCGTACGTACCTGCACATGACCTCGTGCGTCAACAGAACACGGCACATCTCCGGATTCTTGTCCTGCCCTTCGTACATGATCGCCTGCAACAGAGAGAAAACAAGCGGGTATTAAATCCTCGATATCTTCCTCAGATAGAGCTGTGGCATTTCGCTCGCCCCGTCGAATTCAGTTAATTTGAGCCAAGAGAGAAGACAATAGCGTTCCTGATTTTGAGAAACTCTTCTTATCGCACTCAACTTTACGCACGTTGCTTTCCGAACGAGCGAGAGAATCTTTTNTTTTTTCCCGGTTTCCCCCCCCCCCCCCCCGATTCCGAAGGAAAAACGTAGCAAAGGATAATTAGCGCGAACATAGACTACACGTTGGTAATCCAGTTCGAGAGATAATTCAACCGTCGATGGGAAATATGTAACGTATTAAGCAAGCTCGTACGCGGACGCGAGTTGAGAAGGGGGGCTACTTTCCCCGCAGGACTACTAAGCCATGGGCGGCGCAGGCAAATCCGTTAAGCCTCCTTCACGACCACGCGATTGATTTTTATTTAATGACAACACGTCGTTATCCTGTATTCGTGCACTTACCGATGGGGACCTCTGCGCGGATTAACCGCGGAATAACAAAGCGCGAAGAGATAGGCTCGCTTTGATCTCAAGTAAAGAGATGGGAAAATGATTTATTTCCCGATCAAGCTCCAACGCTATTCTTATCAGAAGAAGCTCTATATATATATATATAGAGGCTGAAAAACAAATAATTACGTTTACTTGATTCTAATACTTTTTTCCCCATGTAATTCTGGGTAATAGGATAATTTATTTTGGGACAACTTTGGATAATCTAGTGAAAATCTACATCTGGCGAAATTAGTTTTATGCGAGATCGTGCGTTTTTGCGCAATTTGAGTTTCCTCCTCGTCTCCGTGAATCCGTGGTATTTCACGGTAATTTTTCCCGTTTCCGAAGATCTCTTCACGGTTTCAACATCGGAGCGTTCGATGGATCTCAATGAACGAACCACCACCTACGCGCACAATCGACGCGATTGTGCGCGCGCGCTCGCACGATTTCTACGCAATTTCGCGGCTTGCATAACGACCCGAATCGGAGTTCACGAGGAGGTACGATAAAATGTAAATATTGTGAAATACAGTGTCCCAGGGAATTCGTCGAGTTGACGGCAGCACCGCCGTCGTGCCGCTCTCTACGCGGCCGGTTAAACGTCGTTTTGTAACGGTAACGGTGGTATCAACATACCTGATTTTGGCGTTGCGGAAGTGTAGGTGCGACTTCCAGAATGGCGTCAAATATTTATGCGGACGAAATAACCGAATTGCAACGTAAACGAACCACCGTCGCGGTATACAGTATCGCGGTAGGTAGGTAAATCAGAGAGAGGGATCCCGCGTCGAAGCGGAGGAGACGTCGAGGATGGAAAATAGAGGAGCAAGAATAAACACGCAGGCAGGCAGGCAGTCAGGCTGGGCAGGCGGGAGGAAAGGGGATTGAGAGGGATCGCGCGCTCACGACGACGGAGGGGGGGGGGAGGGAAGTACATGTTCTTGGTAAGAGCAAAGGAAAGGAGTCATAGGACGTTACGTGCCGCTCGGCTATTACGACTCTTAATAGTAAAGAGACATGCGAACTTATTTGTACCGGGAATAATTAACATAAGTATGTACTTTGTACGTATTAACCTCTGTACGCGAGATAAGACCTCAGCGCGCGGCTTACTTACACCCGGCCAATTAAGCTTTTTCGTTGTAACACCGGCAGTTTTGTACACGAGAAGTGTCGCTGCGAATCGAGACTCTTTTATTACGGCCGCGCGCAAACAATGGCGAACGCGACGTAATTACTACCGTTGAGCCGGCCGCTGCCGAAATTGACGCGTTGTTCCGCGAATGCGACAAGATTTCTCGCGAAATCGACGCGATCTCCTCGAATTGAATAACATCATGTTTTAATTTTGCTAATTTTAACGAAAAATATTCAGTCCCGAGCCTCCTTATTCTCAATACGCTGATTCAATCATACAACTAATCGTGAAACTTACTTTTTGCTTCAGATCTGACGGAGCCTGCGGTTCTCCGGAGTGCAGATTCGATGGACGCCGAACCGAAGGATTCGGTTCAGGCCAAGCAGGATTGGTTCGAAGGTAGGATTATCCTAATTTTTCCCGTACATTTACGCTTAACTCTGCGTTTGCATTTAATCCTTTAATGCGATTAAAAACTGGGACAGTTGTCCGTACAAGAAACCGTTGAGTTATAAAAATCACCCGAGATTAACACGCTCTTTCATTATTCACGCTTATTTTTTTGTCAAGTCACATTTAGATTCATGTAATACACGATGCTATATTTCTTTGTTCCAGACGGGTTGCGGAACGCGGCTAATCCTGAGTCTCCCGGTCTTTTGGTGAGTCACAAAAACGAAACTTAATTCAATCGTCAAGTGATTCAACGTTTTAAGGCTGCGGATGTTTATACGATGTTCTCGAAATCAATGCGATTTACATGCGTCTTAGACTTGATATTTTTTCGATTTTATACTTCGGTATCCGCTCTTTCACCTGTTGTCCTAAAATTCACGACGAACGAGTACTTTACGTGCAGGTAAAGAAAATTGCCGATAATCAGTAGCATTTCCCGGTACTGTCGCTCACACGTCGGGACGTGTAGCAGCGAGAGAAGACCCTAATAATCCCTTCGTCGCTTTGAAGATCGTTAAAGTGCGGCCGTACGTCGAACCACGGACATTGAGGCTTCTGACGAAATCCAACGATTCGCTGTGTGTAATCGTCTTCGGTGTTACGGGACGCGCAATAATCGTCGCTTGAACATATAACGACTGTTAGGCAGGTCAGGTAGCGCGTGCGACGTGACATGCAATATTATTTGCCGAGCGATCATTACTCGAGCTTGGACGGTTTTGTTTATTCTGTGTGTACCCGCGGTATGTACGGACAATTTGTAAGCAATTACTTTTTATAACAGTCCCCCCCCCCCTTCTCTTGGGAGACTATCCCAAGAGAGAGACAAGACAAGAGAGTTTGTTTTTGCCACTCTCGGGAATATCGTTTACGAGGTCACGTGTAACAAACGCTCGAATGGATGAATTGAGCACACGCTTGCGTCTCGATTAATATAGGCTCGTTATTAATCGATTGGTAAATTCAGAAAGAAAATATCGCTCTGAAACTTCCGGTCGGCAACCGCATCGCACGCTTCAAATCGAAATGTGTTATTTTACCTGAGACTTTTCTTATACATTTCTTACCATCTTAAATAACGTCATTTAACACGTGATTAGACGTGTTAATTTATAATTTACCACGAATAAACGTTTTAAGTGACGTGACCTAAAACGGCAAGAAACGACGTAAGAAGAGCTTGAGTCAAATATATCAGTTTCAGGCGTTTATGCGTGTAAAAATAAAACACTTGGATCTGCAGCGTGGAAGCCTACATGGAATATCCCGTAGTTTTCGCGTTCGGATTCACACCTTCGCGTGCAGCGACCCCAAAAGAAATGCTACGGTCTTTCTTCAGCGGTTCAACGGATATGGCACGGTTATGTGTCGCGGGATGTCTCAAGGGTGAATGGTTGAAGTAGGCGAAGGGTGGACGGAGGCAACGACGTCAAACGGAGGGTCCTCGGGGTGCGACCAGTCAGCATGATCCCCTCGGGGGCCTATCTTCCGTTGCCTCCCGGTCCCACCAGAAGAATGTTCGGGCCCCCGCAGCTAATTCCCACGGGAATTACTTACCGAGGACTTATAGCGGAAAGTCCTTCCACAGGGTAGACCGCAGCCGATCCTAACGCGCACGGTGTGTCACGGCGCGTTCTCCAGACGAGGTGAAACTTTTCGATCGCGAAGCACCGCCGAATTTTCCCTGTGTATCGTTTCGGCGAGACGTGAAAGTGCGACTTTATCAGTTCTAACGATCTAAAAATATGCCGTTAAAACGACGGAACGTTATTAGTTGTATCGACGTCGCATCTTAAGTTTACCCGACGACGCCCGTATACACACGGGATCAACGGGGACCGGTATCGCTCGGCGGAGAGAAAGAACCGACGTGGTGCATGGTAATAAAACGACATAACGTCGTTCTCGTGTAGCCCTCGAAGATGGCGATGGTACGAGGAGGAAGGCGAGTTACCGAAGGGAGCAGATAAATTCGAAGATAGTCATTCAAATCTGCCTGTAATGATTTCCATCCCGAATCGATTCCAAAAGTCCCCTGGGAATCCCCCTTATATGGAACGGGCTGCCCCCGCAGCTTCCCGGGGTACATGTACGGCGAACAACATGCATACAGCGTCACCCTCGCCCCTCGAAGTGTGTCCACCGCCTGGGGGAACGTCGGCTTCTCTCCCTCTTTCTCTCGATCTCTTTCTCTCCTTATCTGCCCGGGATTAACTTATCTCGAACTTATTATTTCTTTAATCTACGGTTAAATACTCATATTTCAGTATTAGCTACAGGCGCTTTATGCTCGAAGCCGAGATGTCAGCTCGGCTCGATAACTTAAGCCGCGGACGCTATACGAACGCGTGTCGATTGTGCGTGAGAGAACGCGAAGGAACGTTCGGCGAATGGCGAAAAGACACGCAGTTCTTCGCATAATCGGCTGTACACATATTGGACGATGTCGATCCCCTTGGTTCGCGCATTCCGCGGTTTCTCGCGAAACATCTGNTAACAAACGGTGGGGGGGGGGGGGAGTACGCACGCATACACGCACTCACACTGACGGCCGACCATCTCCGACGTCGGATGAAGCTTAAAAGGGTTACGTACAATTTCCTGTTGTTCATTCATTTAGAATAACGGTGCCGCGCGGTTCTCCGCTCCCACCGTACACACGTCCTGTAAATGCTTTTTTATCCCCGGAACTAATTACCATTTAGCATTTTTAATCCCGCGAAAAAGCGCATTCTGGCCCTCGTTCGCCCCCCTCGCACCGGCCGGAAGTTCGTTGCCGAGCGCTTAAAAGCGTACGTTGTTAGCGCCATTCAACCGCGCTGCACAAAACTCGTTTCTTTCTCGGGGAGCAGCTCGTATTTTTCTGGAAATTTCACCGAGAAACGCACGGTTCTCAACATCCTGCGCCTTCCCCCCCTCCCCCTTCACGCTTTCTTTTCCTCTCTTTCTCTCTCTCTCTCTCTCACGACCCTCCGTCTGTCCCTCTTTTTCTCCTTCTCTCGTTCGCGTCTGGTTGTACAGGTACTTCGCCCGCTCGGAATCCAGCGAACGTTGATATAGATACCAACCTTGGCGAAGAGCGAAGAAATTGAAGAAAAGCTTAAGGGTCGGGGGGTTTCACCACGAGCTCAGCGCGCGGCCGACTCGGTGTAGCCAATTATTGCGGATTTATAACCGACCACCTGATTCGGTCTCGAGGAAAGTTGGCGCGTTTCCGAATCGCAATTTGCAAGCCGTAACTCGGCTTCGCCTGTTCGCTCGAGGAACTCACCGGGCGAAGTGAAGCGAATTCCGACGCGGATATTCGCGAATTTTCGACGTGAAAATCGGACCGGCGATCCCGACAAGTATTTACTGCTCGCACGCAAGCACGAGGCTTCTCGAGCTTTTTCGTCCGAGAATCGAATTACGCGAGCGCCGTCAAATTACGAATAACAAACTGCGAAGACTTCGAGAATAGTCGCTGAATTAATTTACGACGTCGTCCTTAAGGTAGTTATACCGCGGAGCGACGCATCAAAGGGGGCCACTCATAAATTTAGCATCTGTACTTTAACTTCGGACAAATACCACAGCTGTCACCGAATGCGATCCCGTCATATCTCCGAGTCATCGTCATCGGAGTCGTAGTTGACAGTCGCGATTCTGCGGGGAATCCGCGTGCTTGAAGTGAACGAGCTGCAACAACAGGCGGGCGATACATATACTGGCTCTAAGCGGTCCTTTTATCTTTCACGTTTTAATCACGGATAAGCTCGGGCGCGTTTGTCAATTTTCTAGAGTACAATGGACAGGGTTGAGGGGGGGATACGTCGACCTGGATTTGCTAAACACTTCGCGCGAGTTGTCGCATGTAGTGGCGCAGCACACCAACGCGACGTGAATATACATTGATTCTCCTATCTGTATCTCTCTCTCTCTCTCTTCTTCCTCCCCCTCCTCCTACGTTTCCTCCTCCTCCACCTCGCTCGGCGGAGACGCGTTCAATCGAAGCTTTGATGTATAAATTGCAGCTTTCTCGTTTTCGATCTTTCCTCCTCCGCGCCGACTCTCCCCCGTCCGACTTTCTACTCCCTTTACCGGCATGATTCCTCCATGGAACCTGGAGGGAGGGTGTCCCGGCATCTATCTATCACTTCCGCTTTTCTTTTCCTCATGGACAATCGTTCCCGAGCGCTGTCGACCCGTTTCCCTTCCTCGTGTCCTCGATCTCCTTTTTCTCGCCACTACGATAGCTTCTATAACTCGGAATTATATTACACGGGCGGAAATTCGCGCCGTGTTTACATCGCGTTTACTCGTCGTTCACGTCGCGATTAATGAACGTTGTATTGTTTCCTCCTGATCCTTCAAACGCGTGTCACACGCGGGCGGACAATTAAGTTACTTCTCGAGTCGTGTCGCTCAGTCGCGTCGCTCTTGATCTCCCTCGATATTACGGGCGACATAAAAATAAATGAATATCCCCGCGCGTATAAATCTGCGCGGTTATACACGCGTCGATTTACGCCTCACTTAATAAAACTTTGTCGTAAACGTGACTGCGCATTTTTAGATAGTGCACCCCGCGGTATCGCGGAGGGCGCGCGTTGAGAAATTATGGAACGAACGTGTGGCGTTTCATGAGTCGGTAAACAAAACGCGTCCGATGCACTTGGTGCGCGCCTCCGCACCTCCCTCACCGTCGTTCTCTAATTCATAGCGCTTCTTATTTCGCCAATTGCTTCGCAAGATAATGCACGTATCGATCTCCCTTTCCGCCCGTCTCAGCCGCTCAACCCTATGACATCCCGGATCCGATTAATAAAAGGAATGGATCGCGAATTGAGGACCGACCGGTCGGTCGGTCGGTCGGTCTCTGCCGGTGCAAGGCCGCCGCGGCTTAGTAATTTAATCAGCTAAAACTAACATCAGCTCTGTTTCCCCAACCCTCCTCCTCATCCTTCCGCCGCTTCCTTCTTCGTCCTACTGCTATCACTACTACTATTACTACTACCACCACCTCTCTTCTTACCTCCGTAACCGACCGGCCCCAAGATGATTTAATTTGCTAAAATGGTGAGCGTATCTATAGGAACTCGTTAGAAGCTCCGGGTCACGACACGAAACAAAATAATTTCGAGATGCTCGTATTTGTTCCGCAACGACGATACAATGTCGTTTGTATTTTTGACTTCCTCTTGGAGATTAATAATGTCCTCGTCCGAGTAAGCGAGGATCCACAATAGATGTAGTTAGAGTCAGATATAAGTATCAATGTCGCTTCTCTATTTATATCTGGAGTTCTAAGCGTGGTAAGCCTTTAGTCTTTTGCTCTGAGCGCTAAATTGTAACGTAATTTCTGGCAAAAAGCGCGTTTCCAGCTCTGCCAGACGTCGCAATTCCTGAGATTTAAGCGTTATCGCGACTTTTGTCGGCGCAGAAAACGTCTTTTTTTTTTATCGAGAATTACGTAACATTTTATTGCTTAGAGCAAAAAGCTAAAAGTTTAATACACCTATCGTGGATGCGGACTAATTCAACGTTTCAGCGCTCATAAAACTATCTGTTTTCTCGGAGGCGATCGATGAAGCTACGACGCGCCGAAAAACGACAAACTCGTTATCTCTCCTGTCTCTCTCTCTCTCTCTCTCTCGAGTCGTGACTCACCACACGTAACCGCGTCTGTGTCCGAGGTCTTAATTTAAGCGTTGAAAACTGCTCGTATCCGTCCGGTTATTTTATCTGAATTCTCTCCCTCTAACTTTTTACGGCACGGTCGTTTCTCTGTATGTCGTGACATTTCGTAGGTGCGAAACACACCTCTCTCGCGCACGGCTCGGCAGCCTAAAAAGCACCCTCGAACGCGCATAAAGGGCTTATCGCGCCCCGTGATCGCGCGTTGTATTTGCGTTTGCACGAAGGTTGTGATCCTCCTTTGCGCCTTATCGGCGCGCCGGGATCTACGGCCCTGCTAGTTGCGGGGGGGATCACAACACGTGGTTCGCGGGTCGCGCGCAGAGTTCGCCACGTGGCGCAGATAACAGGATGGGACAGCCGCGCGCACGGCGGTGTGCCCGCTTTCCCGGAGGGGTAAGAATCAACCCCCCGGAAAATTAAGTGCTTGTAGCAGAGATGATAACACTCCCGTTCACGTGCGCGCCCGCGTCGCTACGACGATTTCGCACGAGTCCTGCCGCCGCCGCTTCCGCGTGAAAAAAAGAAAAGAAGAAACGCCGAAAGAGAGCGAGATTCGCTCGAAGGAAGGAGACCGTCGGTAATGCTCTCCGTCTCTTCTCGATCGCGGTCGGGTGCGTTGCTGAGAGATATCGCGAATCAGAACGATATCGGGACACACGTGCTCGTAGGATCGAAGTACATGCAGACGTCCATGCGCGGACGTGGCTTTGCTTGGTTCGTGTTATAAAGGTGATTCAAATATTAGGAAATAATAATAAAAATAAAATTCAAATAAATAGGAAAGTATATTGTATTATTTTAATTAAAAGTGTATTTGATTATACAGGATATTCCATACCACGTGGACATAATTTTAGAAATAAATTCAGGAATTAGAAATCACGCGAAAAGTGTCCATATAAACACTTGTCCTGTCGTTGTTTTCGAGTTACAGACGCTTTCGTATTTTACTCGTTCTTGTTAGATTTACTTTTAACTTTGTTAAGTCACCGGACTTAACAGAATCGCAGAATTGCGAAAGAAACATTTATGAATTGTCAGCTAGATATTCTTATCGTGTGACGAAAGATATTCGTGTATGAAGGGAGCATCGCGATACTTGAACTTACTTGTTTCGTCGCGGAGTCTATGAGCCTGACGTAGATATCCTGCACCTGTCTGACACCTGAAACAGACGGAAAATTGCGACATTGAGCAAGAAATAATGAGCTCTCTTCGCTTTTCTAGCGGCTACATTAGACAAAGTACTCGCCTAGACTAAACGTACGGATTAAGAATCGAGATGATACAATGCGTTTATGCGATACGCGGATGTACGCTTCTCTCCGGGACGACGAGAAGCTCCATTAATAAGCAAGAAAGCGTTTCGCGCAGGCATTTGCAACGCTCACGAGCCGACCGATACGGAAACGTGTCTTCAAATTCTGCCGCCGAAAGGGCCCCTCCGAGAAAAACTTGCATATCGTGGTCGTATTTAAAGTCGACGGCGACGTGGTGTACACGCGCAAAGCGGGCTGGTTCTTGTTTGAACGTCGCGTATGCACAATCGTCTGCCTCTTCTTGCGTCAATCTTACTTTGAACCGATCGACATGACCGCCGCGTAACATCGCGCGACCCGATGCAAGCCGCGATAAGGAAGAGCGTCGTCTCGCGTACGTGTAATGTACGTTAATTAACACCGCGCCCTTCTTCTCTCCGCAAGAATTCGCGCTGGAAGAATTCACCGGTCGTCACGCTCACGTGAGCGGCGCCGGTTGGCTTTAAAGGTAAAGGCCGATTTCCAATTGCGCAAGATCAAAGACGCTCGTCGTCGTCGCGCGCGACGACGTGCCGCCACGTGCACGTCGTGGCAAAATTGACGAGCGTATCGGCGATTTTTATCTCTTCCGTTTATCTCGTAATTACAAGCGCGAGTCTCGCGAAGGAAACCGCGTCTCCACGGAGGGAGGGTTGTTTACCGGTTGTTTACCGGCTGATAAATCGCCCGATACGGTATCGGTACGCTATTTACCGGCGCGCGCTCTATCCGTGGATCGCAACTGTTGTTACGTACAACGATGCGCGAGGACGTGCATCTCGCCGCCGCGTTGCAAGTTTTCGAAACTGTTCCTTCCTTCCTGGGGGAGTAGCGGGTAATCCCAGGGTGTATTTCGGACAGACACCCTCGTGGCTTCCGGCTTCGCGTGCCCGGTAAGCCAGGTAATCCCGACATAAGACTCGCAGACCCCCGGCCGGCCGGCCGGGCTCACGCCGCATAACGTTATTGCGGATTACGATACTCCGGGCTCGAAACTAGCTCACAAATTACCTCGAGAAACCGTCGCGGCTTTACCGGAAGTTACGTACGCAGTCAACCGGTTTACCGTATCCGTGGCCATGTCAGGATTTGCAAATACGGGTCGACGCTAAACTGACCGAATAACTGATGCGAGCTTCCGCCGGGATATCTGGTTTTCTCCGCCGCGAGAGTTCTAATCGGTAATGATCCGACACGAAAGTAGGAAGTGGGCGCGCTTCGCTTTTGCGCGGACGTACCGCGAATCGCGATAAGGAGCAAGTGTTACGCGAAATTCGCGACGAATTGTGTGTATTTGTCTTTAAATAGCTGTATTAAGTATCTTTCGTTTCTCTTGTCGAGGAAAATCATCATCTAAAAAGTGGCGTGTTATCAGACATCTCGAAGTATCGAGACGTTGAAGCCTCTTCTTGTAATATATTGTAATGTATTGTACGAGATATTGCGATAAAATTCACCACAAAAATTTGTAATGCTGGTTTATACCGGAATTGTTATCGAGGTTGTTATGTGTGTTATAATTTTTAGCGTTGCGTAAACATGATGTACGTCACTAAAGTTTACAACACGTATACCATAGCTTCGGTCATAATTCCGGTATGGTCCAGCATTACGAGATTTTGTGGTAATTTTTACTACGATATTTCCTCCGTGTAGTTGTTATAAAAATGGGGACGTAATTTCAATGGAAATTATAACGTTTCGTGGAGTAACGGTCGTGATGTATCGTTAAATTCACCTTTGACCCTTCGCATGAAAACGAACAATGTCGTCCTACATCGCTTTCGTTCATATCGAAATTTAATTTTCTCACGACTAGTGTAAATAGCGCGCGCCTGTGTGTGTTCTAATTGCTATAGAAATGAGGACATAATTTCACTGGAAATTATAACATTTTTTGAAATAAAGGTCGCGTTGGATCATTAAATTGATCTTTGACACTTCGAGTAAAAACAAATAATGTCGTCCCATGTCGCTTTCGTTCATATCGAAATTTAATGTTCTCATGCATTAATGCATTCGATCGTCGTTAGCGGTAGCTACATCAATTAAAAAAAAAAAGAAACTACAAGGAACGTAGTTCCAGAATTTCGGCGGACCGTTTGGGACGTGTGAAATGCGTTAAATTTAACACTCAATTTTTCGGTGCGCAACAGTGGTTACACAAGGATCCAATTTTTTTTCGAAGTTGAAACATAGCGAAATAGGATTCTATCCCTCTAAATAGCATCTTGCACGAGACGTGGAAGAAAGGGTAAGCGAGAAAAAAACGTCTCTCGTAGGCCTATAACATGTTACTGTCAGAGTTAAGAGTGGGAAGGAGAAAAAAACCTATCTCTCTGCTATCTCCGCTCCAACCGCAATTCATTCCGCATCCCGGTTCGGAGGGCGGGTGGGAGG